ATCCACGGTCTGGTCACACAAGACTTCCTTAATACAGCTTATGGCTTCTGTTGTGTTGGCTTCATCAAAGAACAAGATGGTGTCCAACTGGTGTTGGTCTTTATTATATAAGGCAGTTTTCTCAGCCTCCAAGACTTTGGAGTGGATCATGGCTGCAGTTGTTCCTCCATGAACCTTGACCAACTTCATGGTCTCAGCCTGGGCACCACAACGCCGCAGATCACTAAGGAATTTAATGAGCCTGGTTTTCCCACAGCCTGTTTCTCCCATGATGATAACTGGGATCCCACAGCGGAATCGCATCTCAATGGCCAGGATCTTGAGCATGTTGTCTGTGGTAAGCTCGTATGTTTCATCGGGATCAAGGGCCTGAGGAATCCCTAGTGGCCGGCAGAGTCTCAAGAGCTTCTCGTGTCTGGGCAGGTTATCAAAGTCAACATTGAAGGGCACCCTCTGAAGCAACAGCCCCTTGTACAGTTCTTCTGTCATGACATCTTTCTTGATTATCTTCCCATTGAGATGGTTGATGGCGTCAACGCTGCCATTCTCATTGAGCCGAAGATGGAAGCCTATGAATGTCATGGTCTCGCGGTCACCATTGAAGAACACATAGGGGTGAGGCTCTGACTCCCACCTCCTCCGGAGAGTGAAGGGGGCAAGCTCTTCCTCATCAACCCCATCCATGGTGACCATGTGCTTCCCTGGGCTCTGGTCAGACATATGAAGCGTCGGTGTGGCAAAGTCTCTTGCCATGAAGATCATGAAGGTGACCACAAAATTCTTGAAGCCTGGAAGTGTAAATCCAGTAAACCCTGTATTACAGAACATACAGGCTTCACAGTCCTTGAGCTGAGAGTTGAGGAACCGAGCAAAGTTCTGGAGCTCTGACCAGGAGGGGTTGATGACCCCACAATATATGAGGAGGTGCTGGATGCACTCCCCTGGGGTACCTTCAACAGAGCCTGCTTGGTATTGAAATGTGTCTAGGTTTTGTTTTTGATGGAATCTTTTTAAATATTGGTAAGGTCTTTGGAAAGTGGCACTGCAGAATTCTCGCTCGTCCATTCCAGGCTCTATGAAGCTTCTCTCGGGGCTCAGCTCCATGGCTATCACTTCTTTGGGAGGTCTGCAGGTGACTCTGGGGAAGATGTCAAGAAAACTGAACTGGGGAGCATGTGGATTCTGCAAAGGAGAGACATAAATAGAAGTTAGAACTTGATTTCCTGAAAGATGCCCATATATATTAACCCTCCACGCCATCTTCTCAGGATCTGCCTTTATGAAAACAAACACTTAAATACACAGTGATTGTTTGCATTCTGCAGCCTCTTATTCACAGAGGCTGGCATCTGCACCTTAGAGTATTAAAGAAGCTCAACTACAGTAGCTGTATTATTAACCAGGAATCCATTTCCAACCCAGCCTCCTGTGGCTGATCTCTCCTCCAAGCACGAACACATGTGCGACCATAGAACTCCCACCAGCTAATGGCTTTCTATGTGCAAAGTTGCCCTGCGATCTTCACTGGCAGTAAAAGAGACAATGGCCCTCAACAGAGGAATCTCCTGAACACTCAGCACGGGTGAGACTCAACCCAGACACAGCATGGGTCTGACAGATCCAGACAAATGCAAGACGCTGCCAATCAATAAATATGAGAGCATTCTCATTCCAGACATCATTAAGATCTAAGTCTAAGCATGCATTTCGCCTTACACATACTCACTGCTCCCTGAACATGAAAGTGGGAAACAATTAAGATGTGTCAACTCAGGCCACAGGCCACAGCAGCAAAGGTGTGCTGTGATCACCTGCAAATGCCCTGTGTGCTTACCAGCTTTGAAGACCTCTTTGGCAGTACTGAATTTCCTACGGGGATTTCAATGATATATAAATGGCATGGGTTCCGAAGCCACATTTTCCCACTTATATCCATTAGGTATTGTAAAATGAGGAGTTTGAAAAGAAAAACCCAAGTTCCAGTCTGTACCTAAAGACAGAGAAGCGTGGGTTGAAAATACACAAATGCCAACCATTTCTTTCAACTCCCAGGAC